GATTAATCCAGTTGATACACTACAACTCAAATAACATCAGGAACATGTTTTTAGGATAATCTTTCAGCTATTCCTGCTTATTGTAAGAAGTGGAACAGATGATACTAGGCTGGTGTTGGTACTTCAGTCTGTCACAGCACGCAACATACTTTTAGATATTTTGCACATTCAGAAATTGTATTTGCTCTTCCTTAAGAATTTATTATATGCTGTTGTATTAACTTTAAAAATTAAAATAACAGTTAGTGAGCAAATATTAATGGAAATGAGGAGCTCATAGCACATACATTTCTGGAAGATGCAGACAGGAAATTACTTCAGAATTTGCTTCTTAAGGACTAAACAGTTGGAAAGGAAAAAACAAACCGTACCACAAGCATGTTTGGAAAAGAAGATTCTGGAAGGAACAGGCTTCTACTAGCTCCCAGTCATAGGCTTACAAAGTTGCTCTGACATTTGCACAGAACTCATGAAGAAAACAGTCCTCTTCTAAACTTTGCATTAAGTTCTACACCTAACTTAATTGAAAGCAAGTCTTCTATGCTATAATGGACATTAAATTTTCAGCTACTGCAGCTTTTAGGCCGCATGTTACAGGAGAGCACTTTTATGATAGACATCCTATACAGCACTGTGTACATTTATTTTTTATATTAAGCCACTGGCAAGCAGTGATGCGCGAGTTTCTACCCAAATTCACAAGCTGACAATAACTCCCTGTGTACAGAAAAAAACTGCCATCTTTTGTTTGACTGAGGTAATCAAGAAAAAAAACTTTAGATTCGACCTTATTTAAGACGAGAAACATTTAAAGTCGTATGACAGGACTTTCTTCATTATTGAAAAGCAGTGTAGTGAAAGAGCTGTCACAGAATCATTAAGATTGGAGAAGACATCTAAGATCATCTAGTCCAAGCATCCATCTACCACCAACAGTGCCCCCTAACCCACATCCCTAAGTACCACATCTACACATTTCCTGAACATCTCCAGGGACAGTGACTCCACCACCTCCCTGGGCAGCCTGTGCCAGTGCTCCAATCACTTCATCAGAGAAGAAATTCTTCCTCACATCCAAATTGAACCTCCACTGATGCAACTTGAGGGCATTCCCTCATCCTCTCAACTCCCACTGGTACACTATTTCCTTTCCTGAATAAAGGAGACTGCTGCAGCCTGCTCAAGAGGTCTTCTCTCACCAGGAGAGAAACAAAACTTTCTTCCAGCACATTTTTCATGAAGGTATTTGGAACACTTTATCACTACCTATACTTGGTTCTGCTCAGTCAGTGCTTTATATTCTGGCTCTCAAAATAGTATCCCAAAGGGAGAAATATGTTTTCTTTAGATAAAGATTAATTTTGTTGTATCAAACCTGAGGCTTTGTCCCAAATGCACATACATCTGAGACAGAGAACAAAGCACAGTTTTTGACGGGATCTGACCACAGGAATGTAAAACTGCTTTTTATAAGACCCAGTAAATGTGAGAAGCTTCATGCATGTGCAGTCTTGATATTAGAGGGCCCTTCTCATTGCCTTTTGAATATATCTAGAAGTCTGACTTGAAAACTCCCCAAGATGCGCATAAAAAAGGTAGAAAGCCTTTTCAGCATGTGAGATGGCATTGCCAAATGCAGGACTCAACACTTCAAGGTTCCCAGAAAGCAGTTTGTAGACATGAAAGAAATCTGGGGGCATTAAAAGCTCACTGAATTTTTACATTAATTCTCCCTCTCCACCACAATCCAGTGTCTCAGTTTGCTGTGCCTACATTATATTCAGTTACTGCAGCATTAGCTTTTCTCAGAAAGAAACATAGGTTTCTTTCCATGAGAGGAAAAAAAAAAAAAAATAAAAAGCTCTTCCTTACTACCAAAACCAAAGTCTATTTCTGTCTGTGTTTACAGAGATTGGTTTTCATTTCCTTTTCCCCTCCTTGGTTGTTACAGCATTTGACCTAGTTCTTATCACACTGACTTAAGGCAATATTAAAAAATATATATATATTCCTAAGCAGGCACTTATATACCAGTTAATAGAAAATACAGAACTACCTGTAAATAATTTATGAACACTAACCTTGAAGAGTGATATGAACCTAATAGCAAGGGACAGGCAGAAGCTAGATACAAAGTCAGCCAGATGCAGCTTGATGCTCATGTGCAGGTGCGTAGCAACAGCAGGCACAGGATAGGAACGCTCTCGTAGAGGTATTAGTCACTATTTAGTTTAGAAGGCGATACAGGAAAAAGCAACTTACCATTTCTGAAGGCTCAGGGACTCTTGAGAATGGTATGATCTCCAAAAAGAGACAGTACTACCTCAGCTGCTAACCCTTAAATGGGAGTGAGGAGGGGTGGACCCTGGTTCTAGTCCTTCCAGTCACTCAGGTGCACTGCTTGCATCTGTGCTCTCTGGATTACTCACACCTTCTCACCTGATGCTCAATCACTGGTTCTAGCCATGACCTAACAATTCTCTTACAGCATGTGGAAACATAAGCAGCCAGAATACAAGCAAGTATATGACCAGGATAATACAGTCCTTAACTATTTCAGATATCCCCTAAATAAACAATGCAAGTCCTTTTAGTCACTTTTCTCAGGCATACTAAATACGCGTTGGTTAAGTTCTTCATGAATTTACTTTGGGGAAAAAAAGAAAAAAGAAGAAAGAAAGAAAAAGAATCCTTTCTGCTATTTTACAGAGGAGGTACAAGAACACTGTACAAGATATACACAGGGACAACCAACTAGACTACTCAAACACGCAGATTAATAGAATTTATGGAGAGGGAGATATGTCTCATTCCTTGATAGCTGCATTTCTGACATAGCCAAATACTTTGAAAAGAAACATCAGAGTAAGAAAGGAAGAACTCAGGGCTTCAGCACAATACCAGAAATCCTGCTTTGGCTTACAGAAAACTCACAGACAGATGAGGCCAAACCAGTACAGGCATCTCCACGAGATACTGTCTGGCTGTCTCCCACATCCAGACCGTTGGGTGGCTTTGAAAGCCCCTCAGCTGCAATTGCACAGGGCTGCACACAACACACCCCATCTAAGGTCTGACTCCCTACAGCTGGGCAGGTAGTAACACACTCCCAGTGCTGCGGCAGGCAGCAAGGCCCCTCAACAGCTCTCACCCAGCTTCCTCCTCTTCCAAATTTATTTGATCTGGAACAGTAAATAGTCTTCTGTGATAGTACAGGTGAAACCTCCATCTTTGCAATATATTTTACGTTGATAAATGTTGTTCCATGGCTATCTTGAAAGACTATTTTTCAGGGAGTAATGTCTCCAGTGCCGAAGGCTGATGGTTGCACAAGGATTGCCTGGGCTGGGTTTGGCTGATCTGTGCAAAACAATACACCACATTTGATAGGGTTTGCATGGACCACTGAGTTCAGCTTTCAGCTTGCCTTACTGTATGGCTCAGGCTATGTGAGTCTGTGCTGCGCTAGCAGAAGACTCTGATAAAATATTAACAAACATAAAATAGTGAAAGCATTCCCCACACTATCCCGTACTTCAGGACTTGCATCTAAATGTTTGATGTCACGAGGGGATATTTTTCTCTTTCTAAGTGCGTATAACTCTTGTAATACTAAATGAGAATACGTTCCACGGTGTCACACTAACACATTCATTGACTATCCATCAGCAGAAAAAAGGGTCTGACTCACAAGACCAAAACAGAATGCAAATATAAGAATTTTCTGTTTGAGAAGAAGAAACACCACAGAGAGAATCCCTTTGTCACATTCTGTGAGAGCTCCCCCAGGAAGTAACGTGAAGTCACATAGCTTCCAGATTCTATAAAGCGACTTGCCATATTTATATGTGCTAAAAATCTAGAGACTTATTTTAGGGTGAAATAGGGAATAAAGGTAGGGCCACACAAGATTTCGGATGACTGCTACTAAAAAAAGGCTGGCAACATATAAACATTTTTATTGGTCTCTGAAGTTAAAAAGGCAATCAACATGAATTACACTACTGGCTTAAAGGAAGGCAAAAACTTTGGAGCCTAAAAAGAGAACGTTGCAAATATTATTGCTAAATATAAAGTGACATGGCTGAATTTATAAGTCTTACAAAACTGAAAAGGACAATGACATACTAAGAGAAGCAATGTAATGACAGGGCTAAAAGTAATGAAAGATATTTCAGAAAGGAGAGTGATTATTTAAGAGAAACACAAGCAAAGATAGGGACATTGACTAACTTGGGGAAGTGTTTATCTGATCACCCCCTTTCTGATACCTGATGACCTATTTATGTTAGCCAGGACACACTTTTCTTCTTTATGATTTATACAGTTGGCTATCTACATCTTTGTCCTTATACGCTCCATATTCTGAAAAGCAGCATCAAAATGTGCGTTTACTGTTGTCCTCAAAAATGACTTCTATTATCTCCTAGTTTCTCCATGAAATGTTTAGATTTGCTTATTTTATTAAGATTATATATACACAGCATGCTTTCTCCTCCCACGGGAGAGAGATATGTTTTGTCTAACTTTCTCACTGATACATTGAAATGTTTGGTGCTAGAAATATCATTATCCAGATATGCTGTTTTGTTTTTTTGTTTTTGTTTTTTCCCTTGGGTAAGTGGCTGAGTCTTTAGAGAACTTCATTTTCTACCATAGGAAAGATCACCTTTCAGACTGTTTCAGAGTGATTCAATACCAGCCAGCTGTAGTTATAAAATCACATTTCCTAGGTCTTTATATTATAATGCCACTAGTAATAAGAATATTCTGGGTTTCCATTCTTACAACCATAGCCATATAACTTTGAAATAATGATCATCTCCAGTAATTGTATGCTAACTGGTGACTGACTGCAAAATTGATAATTCACTCTGAGAAAAGCTAAAAGTCTTTATGCAGCAGAAAGCCTCACAGCTTTAATAAGTGACAGATTTGTAGGAATGGCACCCAGTAAAACCCAGCATGTTTTGGCATGTTTTGTACTCTGTGTTTTCCAGTGCTTTGCACACTGAGGAAGAGCAAAATTGCTGCTTCTTTCTGTAAGCTCCAGTTTGGAAATCTATCACGGAAAGAATGGAAGCGACTAAATGGACCTGAGAGAACCATATTATGAAGGTGAGAAAAATTAAATCCACTTTTGCAGGAAAAATTTACGAAACTTTCAACCATTTTCACAGCAATTACCACCATTTATGAACTTCTTTAAAATTAGTTCTCATAAGAAGTATCATAGCGTTACTTTAAAGACAAAGCTGATGGGATTAAGAATAAATTCACCACTTTGAATACTATTTCACATAATGAATTATATCAGCTAAGACTAGGCAACTTCTGTTAGAGATAAATTTAGCACAGGAAATACTGACGACTCACTTTGCACTGAGTTCAGTTACATTAAATCTTACAGCAGAAAACACCAGACTTGGCTCTTCCAGCAGAACACAAAAAGAAGATTGCAAGTAATGGATGTTTCACACAAGTCAGTTCTAGCACTGAGTACTGGGTTTTTGATCATACGATATACAAGAGTCAGATTTCAGCCTGCACCACATTGGGTATTCATGTATGCAAGGAAACACTCCATTAGTCAGCTCCCAGTAGGCCTTTTGTTTATTCCTGTGTTACAGCATTTTTAATAGCAAATTTCTAAGAACAGTTTTCTTTTGGCTATCAGAACATCATAATTTTCAAGTGAAATGGGAGTTTAAGGGATAACAATTGGTGGAAAATGCACACCAAATATAAGTCTACATTCATTATATGTTAGTGCTGAGACCTTTTTTTAGGTGCCTCATTTATCAGCTATGACAAGTTTTAGCATCTTAAGAATTCACTTACATCATCATTCCTATATCACAAATTGTAAAATTAGACTTTTTACTATGAAGTTTAATCTATTTTGACTCAAATTATTTACAGTTTAAATAGATGGCAATATGCAGATCCTCTCTTCTGAACTATAAGAAAGGATCTAGCAAACATGAAAGTGATTTTGTTAAATTCATACAAGCTTATAAGTCTCAGGAATGGGTTTAAAATTTTCTTCATCTAATTTTATATTACTTCTTCCCATTTTATTGTATTACTGTGCTCAAGGGGCAAAAGACCAATGAAAAGTGGTTCTGTATTGCTCATATCATTTCATGTTGAGAGCAAAATGTAGTGACACAGGTATAAATAGAGGATTTTGTCCTTGTTACATGGCTCAAAGCTTAACTCATAAATAAAAGTAAGGAAAAAAAAGGCTGAATTCTTGCCTTATTTAATTCCCCATGCGGCAATTCTATTGTTCAATTAATTTTTTGTAATTGCAGAACCTGGGAAATGACTTAAATTTAGGCAGTTTTACTGGCATTTTTGCTCTTAAATTTAGATCACTGGCTTGTTAAATACATCCTTTAGTTATATGGCCATGAACTGAACGGCTGTTAATCTATTTGACATGATAATTATGCCTGTCATTGAGTTTACAGCTTGCACTTCGAACAGAGCACTTCAGAATGCTACCTATTCAGAAACCTTTTTGTTAACCAAGTAAATAGTTTTGAAGGTCCATGAGATTACTGATATATGAACCAGTGATTCAGTACAGCCAGTGTACTTGATATGGACCACTTATTTGTCTTTAGCAGCGGCAACAGAAGTATGCCAGGTGGTAAGTCCATGACACTATGCAGCTGCAAATCACTTCATCGAATCACAGTACCATAGAATGGCTTGGGTGGAAAAGACCTTAAAGACCATTCAGTTCCAATACCCTGCTGTGGACCACTTGCAGCCCCCTAGATCAGGTTGCCCACAGCCCCATCCAGCCTGGTCTTGAGCGCCTCCAGGAATGGGGCTCCACAGCTGCTGTGAGCAGCCTATGCCAGTGCCTCACCAGCCTCTGAGTAAAGAGTAAATCTTATCTAACCTCCCCTCTTTCTGTTTAAAGCCATTTCTCCTTTTCCTATGACTACATGCTCTTTTAAAAAAAATTCATCTCCAGCTTTATTGTAGGCCCCCCTCTAGGTACTAAAGGCTGCAATGAGATCTCTCCAGAGCCTTTTCTTCCCCAGGCTCAACAAACCCAGCTCTCTCAATCTATCTTTCCAGGAAAGGAGCTCCAGTCCTCTGATTATCCTCATAGCCATCCTCTGGACCCACTCCAATATATCTACATTATTCTTACACTGTGGCTCCCAGGGTGCTTACTGTCCGCAGTAAAGCTGCTTGATCATGTTGGTTCCTTCCTTAGATTTATTTCAATCAAATAATGCCTTACATAATAGGTTGCTTTCATTTCAGTACATATGTACTGCAACAGAACCCATTTACCTCAATTTTCAGCAAGTTTATGGAAAACAGCATGGAAGTGGTCAGGGGTTTAATTTTGTGCCAGTGCTGGTCATTGAGGATAACGCAGTCCCTTTTGCTGTTGAATTCCAAGATGGAGTTTTCACCATTAACACTGATAAAATGCATCATGGTGGTATACAGGATGCAATGCATAAATTGACTCCCTCCTGCACATATAGGAATGTTGGGGCACAGTCTGCATAGTAGATGCTCATAAATATTAGAGGAAGTTCTCTCCATTAGAGCATCACACTAAGTAGTATTTCTGCTGCTGAAGAGATGGTGTTTTGACTTTTTTATTGATGTTTTGCTCAGAGGTTTCCCACTTTGTGTCCCATGTCCTTTGCCATTCACCAATACTTCAGAGTTAGCTCTAACTACAAGATGCTTTAGGACATAAATCAGTCACACAGGTGTTCCTTTCTTCTACCTTGCCACTTTTCAAAGGATCACATTTGGATTCTTGAGTCCAGAAAGACAGAAGAAACTTAAATTTCAAGCTAGCAGCTGTAAAATCTTCCAATTATTACTTATTTAATAATTGACATCAATTAATGTCATCAAAGAGGAGATAAATGAGAGAAGAAAAGGAACATACACATGACAATCCTATTTATTAGACAGATTGAGTAATAAGTGTCTGTTTATTTTTCCTGAAGGTAAAAAAATATATCAGAAGAAACATACTTTTAAAAATGTTTCCCTTAGAATTATAAGGAGGAAATTTCAGTTTCTGGTTTTTAATGAAAAAAATTAAAGAGCCTTCATTCCATGTTTATGAACAATCCATACTAGTGCCAGCCTCTGAAAAAATAAATATAAACATTGAATAGTAAGTCTGAACTTGAGCCGCAGGGGTAGCAGAAACGGTTTCCACAAAACCCACTGCAGCAATTCTTCTCCAAGGGTATTACTATGGACTACACGAAAATGTACCATTTAAAAGTTCAAATCAGAACTTTCTTGGCAAATGAAGTAGTTTAACTGCGAAAGCAATTCAACATATTTTCAGCACTGGATCCTGGTCTCATAATGGAAAAAACACAAGCAATGTATTCTTAGGCCAAAGAACAGATTACTTTTTAAAATGTAAAGCCCAGCTTGTACCTGGGCTGCCTAGAATAAAATCATATTAACGGGCTGTAATGCAAGGTGACTTCATCTTCATGTAAACAGCTAATATTTAATTTAGGTATGTATGGTGAGCAAATATGTAAGTGTATTAATCTACTGCAATCTTCTGATGTATATGCAGCCGTGTGATTTGATTTGAATTGATTTTGCAACTGACTTTGGTGACCTCCAATAAAAAAATTGTTGCACTCACCGCAAAGTGATTTATGATGGCAGGACTCTCTATTACATAAATACTTTCCAATGCATTAGTCAGAAACCAACTATCTTACTTCATGAAACCAATATAAATAATCAATTCTTATCTGATTTACCAGGATTTTATGCAAGGAAAAAATATTCTACCTTTATGCCAAATGGAGTTAAAATGTTGATCATGTAATACGAAATGTCTCTATCTCAGTGTGTAGGTGCAACTAATCAAAATCAGAGGCTGCATTCAAGATTTTAGCTCTGATCAAAAAAAGGTTACACATTACAAGAATTAAATATAGTACTTCTGCACTTACAGCTAAACATGCATATGCATATTTTGATAATAAATAGCACCGAGCATTAACACTGTGCCATTTTGAATTTAAATGGCCACCTAGTTTAATCACAATGGAAAACTTAAGACATTGCTTAAATATGAGCATTTTACAAATGCCATTAGGAGACAAAGTCATTACTGGCAACACATTAGTAACATATATTTTACTCTAAAACATCCTGAAGCACTTTACTGTACGCATATGCTTGTGAATGCTAATATGTGCACATTGACATTATACACAGGAATCACTTCAATCATTATAGAAACAGATACAAAATTTGCTTCCTGTGCACATGGAAACAGAGAATAACACATCTGCAGAAGCAATATGCTTTGTTTTTAATTTAAAAGAATAGATTCACTACTGAATCTATGGTTGCTTATTACAATGCGGAGACATTAAAAAGGGTTTTCAACCAACACCCACAAGATCATCAGTACTTCTGCCAGAATGCATTTTACCACAGACCAGTACCTTCTCTGCCTAGTTACAGAAGGCAGAAAGAGTAGGACATGGTATTATTTCATCCTTTAAATGCTAAACGTTTATAAAGTGGGAACTTGACACTGACAATCAAAACTGCAATTCAGAAGCACCTCAGTTATTTGCTGTCTGAGCCAGAATTAGGTAAGCTCTTCTTTCTTACCTCCAAGATGCTAAAATATCTGAGGTCATATTTCTGGGCAATCCCTACAGCTACTCTGGAGACAAGATGAGCAGCTTCACTGCCTAAATCAGAACTAATCCAGAAGTTAAGCTCTTGTCTATATCTCAATGCAAATCTGATCGTGCATGCAACCCAAATTTCATTTTGCTAATGAGAATTTTGATAAGTCATTATTTAACACATAATATCATAATTTAATCCATAACATAAAATGTACAGTCCCCAGTGCAAGGACAAGGAAGATGTGATTTTCCTCTTTCAGATTTCCATTCCAGTCACTCAACAACAGACTTTTACTTTGCCTGAAGTCTCCATCTGAGCCATTTGCTTGGATAGTAGTTTTGCAGTAAAACTGAGAGATTGTCTGGTCATCTTTTGTGGGCATATGACTTCCACATTCACCCTAGCCCCTTAAGTTCAAAACGTGGGGAAAAATGAAG